ACAAAAAACAAGTGAGGGAGACAGGACTTTTATTAACTTCTGCAGTAAATTTGTAGAACAAATTGGTTGATTTTGTAATAATGATTCTTAAATTAAAAGGAATTGTTTAAAAAATCAAATAATTAAAAAACATAATGGGCTGGGAATGTAGATCAGTGGTGGTGTAGCTTGCCTATCATGCACAAGGCCCTGGGTTCCATCCAAGTACAGCAAAATAAATAAATCAATACAAATGAAAAAAATATAACATTAAAAGGAAACATTATTTTCCCCTTCCTTGCACCCTAGTCTCACTCCCCAAAGTGACATCTATTACCAGCATTTTTTTCTACATTCTCAGGAAAAACACTCTGCACACACCAGTATATACGTATTTATTTCTTTTTAAAAATTTGACAAATATGACCATGTTCTTCATGTTGTTTAGTGATTTGTAACATATCTTGAAGATGTTTCTTATAAGTCATATAGCTTTATCTTATTCTTTTAAATAGCTGAATAAATTTTATTTGTATAGCTGTACCATAATTTATAAAAATAAACACGTTCTTAAGCCCCTCTCCCCCAAACAAATCCCTAGGTCTATCTCCAGCATCACCATGTACTTAGGACAAAAGTTGTGTCACAGAGCACCACTATTTTATTTTATTTTTTTTGCTTGAGACAGGGTCCTGCTGTATTGCCCAGTCTGGTCTCAAACTGCTGGGTTCAAATGATCCTCCTGCCTCAGCTGCCTCAGTAGCTGGAACTGAAGGTATGTATCACTGTGCCTGGCTTACCATCACTTTATTTTTTTAAATTAAATTAAATTAAAAAATTTAAACTTTTTTTTTGCTATATAGGGTTTTGAACTCAGGACTTTGCACTTGGGCCATGCTCCAGCCCCACTGTGGATTTTTTATTAGGATATATTAGCTGTACAAAGGGGTTTCATTGTGATACTTCCACACATACATACAAATTTATCTCAATCAAATTCACTCCTGTCCTTCCCCCTCATCCTCCCACCCCCCTCTTAAAACAAGTTCAACAGGTTTCGTACATGAGTATAAAGTACTTTGACCATATTCACCCCTCTTTGCCTTCTCCTTTAACTCCTCTTTCTTTCTTCCTTCTTTCCTTCCTTCCTTCTTTCTTTCTTGGTGGAATTGAGTTTTGAACTTACGGCATCATGCTTGCAAAGCAGGCACTCTAGCACTTGAGCCATACCTCCAGCTCTTTCTGCTCTGGTTATTTTAGAAATGGGATCTCACTTTTTGCCCAGGTCAGATAGGACCACAATTCTCTTATGTTTTTATGCTTTCTGCCTTCACCAAGATGGCAGGTACATGCCGCCATGTCCAGCTTTTTTCAGTTGAATGGAGTCTTGCAAACTTTTTTGCCTAGGGTGGCCTTGAACTGTGATCCTCCCCAAGATCAGCCTCCCAAGTATATACCACGTTTTCTTTATCCAGTCACATCATTTTATTTTATAGGAAATTTTAATCAAGTAATTAGACTTATTTCACTGTTTTGGAAAATGAAAATGTATCACAAGATAGGCATTGTTGGTGTGGACACGGCAAAGCAGGGTCTGATAGTTATGATGCTGAATTACATTTTTGGAACCTACTTTGCCATCAGATTATCATGCAACCTTATGATATCACTTCCTCCCCTTTGAGCATCTGATCACCATCTCCACATATAAATTAAGATACCCATGCTGGGCGTGGGTGGCTCATGCTTGTAATCCTAGCTGCTTGGGAGGGCTGAGATCAAGGAGAATTAAGGTTTGAGGTCAGCCCAGACAATAGTTCCAAGACTCCATCTCCAAAATAACCAGAGAAAAATGGACTGGAGATGTGGCTCAATTGGTAGAACACCTATGTTGAAGTGCCTGTTTTGCCCTGAGTTCTAAACCCCAGGAGAGAGAGAGAGAGAGAGAGAGAGAGAGAGAGAGAGAGAGAGAGAGATCCAGGTTGACTTGAGAGCCATTTATATTTTATAATTCACATCTTATAATTACTTTATATGAATGTAATACATGTTGAATGAAGAACATTTATAAAACCCTGCTAAGTAGAAAGAAGAAAATTAAAATAACCTATAGTTCTACTTCTGTCTAGCACATTTCTTCTCCTTCCACCACTTCCTCATCAGGCTGGCTCCTGCTCCTCCTTCCTCCTTCAGGTGACATGATTTTCTGCAAAGAAACTCTCTTTAACTAGCCAAGGCAGAAGTGGAGGGATTTGGTCTATGCATTCCTTTAGGACCTTGGACTTCCCTCCTGTCTAGCCCAGACCGTGTAGTAGCTGTGGGCTTCTTCAGGGGGAGAACATGGCCATTTTAACCAATCTCTTCTTATAGTAAGTGCTCAGTAAATGTTGGCAGATTTAATGGTTAAGCAGAAGATACAAGAATAAGCTGTAGCTTTTAGAGTCCATATGACCTCAGCCCTGAGCTAGTGGAATGATCTCCCCAGCCTATTTCCTGGATTTTTTCCCATCTGTGCCACACTAGGGAAAGTGGCTGGATATATACTTTTTCCCTCTGGACTAGTCAGCTGACATCGACACACTTCAACTTCCACTTTGACCACTTTCTCCTTGTCTATATGACTTTTTCCCCCTTTTGAAACAAGATCTGGCTATGCAGCTGAGGCTGGCCTCTAACTCACAATCTTCCTACCTCAGCTTCCTGAGTGCTTAGATTATAAGCATGCACCACCACACACAATTGTGGTGTTTTGTCTTTTTTTCTACAATTTAGGGTTTTGTGGAACATTAAAGTTGCACAATTTAGAGCTGAGGGACAAGGGCCAGAGTCTATCAGTAAGGATTGGTGGGGCAACTTCTGAGAGATCAACTCAATCATGTGTTCTCTGAAGCCTGCTTTATCCAGGACATATTTCTAGCCAAGTCTTACTGATGGTAGGGTAGTCAAATGACATTTTACTAAAGGCAATGACTAATACTTTAGTGTATCTTAGTTCAAAATTGGGCAAGTCATTTTCTCATGACTTAGTTTCACCTGTGACAGAAATCATTGACAAGTTTTCTCACTGTCGGGAATTAATTACATTAAAGCAAATGATAGTGGGGGCAAATCAGTTGTTCTTAATATTTGGGTTGGAGTTAGGACTATGGTGGGGAGTCACAGGCCATCTAGTTAAAGCTAAAAACTTGAGAAGTAATTAAAGCTATAAACTTGCCCATAAAAATACAGACACATAAATGTTGCATGTAATTTCTGAGAATTCACTTAGCCTCCTCACCTTCCAAACCCCTACCCAAGCTCATTGATAGCCCTGGATTTAAGATCTCCTGAACTACATGATTTCCAGGCTCTCAAAGTGCAGTACATGAATTACAGAATCACTTGGAGTATTTAAGAAAACAGTAGATTTTGAGCCAGGCATGGTGCATATGTATATAATCACAGCCCTCCAGAGGCTAAGGTAAGAGGATTGCTGTGAGTTTGAGGCCAACCCGGGCTACATAGTGAGACTCTGTCTCAAACAAAACAAAACACAACACAAAACAACAAAACCCAAATAAACAAAAGAGACAAAAATAACAAACTTGTAGGACAGTCCACACCTATTTCAGAATCTCTGGGAATGAGATGTAGGAATCTGTGTTTTTAAAAACCATGAGCTTATTCTTTTGGAAACTAACATTTGAGAGTTGATACTTTATTTGAACTCTCCATTTTTATGTTTAAGCTGGGCACCCTTGGCTCATACCTGTAATCCTAGCTACTCAGGAGTATGAGATTCAATGCCAGCCTCGGAAAACAGTTTGAGACACCATATCTTGAAAATCCTCAACACAAAACAGGGCTGTCGAAGTGGCTCAAGTGTAAGGCCCTGAGTTCAAACATCAGTACCGCCACAAACAAAACCCAAAACCTAGTAGCCCTTTTTGTGTGAGTGTGTGTGTGTGTGGTACTGGGGCTTGAACTCAGGGCCTTCACATTGAGCCACTCTGCCAGCCCTTTTTTGTTATGGGTATTTTCGAGATAGGGTCTGGAGAACTATCTGCTGGAGCTGGCTTTGAACCACGATCCTCCTGATCTCTGCCTCCTGAGTAGCTAGGATTACAGGCATCAGCCACCAGCACCTGGCTCCAGTAACCCATTTTTATGTTTGAATGCTTTCATGTGGTGGCTTAGGTTTTGTCTGTTCACTGTTCATTTGATCTGTATACCAAATATTATGTTTATTATAAGTCTATTACAGGGTATGTGTGTGCATGCATAGGAAAATATCTGGAAGGATAAACATAATGTTAGCAGTATCTCTCTCTTGGTAGTGTATGGATGATCTTTATTTTTATCCCTTTATCCTTCTATTTTTATTTCTCTCATTTTTTTTCTTCCTGTATTTAAAAAAGACGCTTCCTGTTTCTGAGCTCAATGTCCCCTTCTGAGGAACAGGGTGTTGTAACTGGGTGAAGTTGAAGACCACGTCCTGCTCTGGTGGTCAGTAACTCCACATTACCCCCTGGCTTCCTGGTACATCTATATAGCACGCACCACACTGCATAGGGAACAACGTTGTTTGGAGAATAATCGTGTATTATTTTTGCATGAATTACGTTGAGATGCCTAACAACAGTTTTAGCACCAGAAATATCACTCTTTTTCTTCCTCAAGAAGCTGGAACAGAAATAATCTACTATCTACCGCCCTCAGAAGTTCTTCCTCTGCCTTCAGCCTTAGAAAATGCCGTCCGGTCTACGGCCATACCACCCTGAACGCGCCCGATCTCGTCTGATCTCGGAAGCTAAGCAGGGTCGGGCCTGGTTAGTACTTGGATGGGAGAAAATGCCGTCCGCACGTATCTCTTGGTAAGGTAACAGTGGCTGTGAACCAAAAAGCCAGGGCGTGGTTGCCCCCTCCCACGGCCCCTACATCACCACCCCTCGCGGGCTTTCAAACGTGGGGATTGGCTGCAAGCAAGACAGAGCTCCGCCTCTGGTCTTATGACTGGGGCCGAACCGGCGGTTCCGGGCTTTGAGGCGCTGTGGTCGGTGGTCATCGGTGGTGTAGTTCCAGGTCCAGAGCCTTTAAGCTGCTACTGCTGCTCTTGCCGCCGCCGCCTCCGCCTTCTGCCTTTCGGAATCATAATGTGCTTCCGCCTCTCCCTGATTTCGGGCTCGGGGCTCGTTCTGCTCTGCCTTGTCTTGGGTGAGTTATCAGGCCCTTGGGATTAGCCTCCCTGCTTGGGCCTGGGGCGCGGGTTCAAAGGCCACAACCTGAAAGACTGGTGCGGAAGAGGTGTTGAGAGACTGAGCAGCTGACTGTGGGCGGCGGCGCTTGCCCCCGGGAGGCGAACTGTGACCTGGAGAAGGCCTGATGTAGGGATGGCCAGGAAGAAGGGCCCTTGGGAGTAACAGGGGACAAGTAAGAGGAGCAGCCGGCAAGGGAGTGGGCAGGGAAGAGTGAAGAGTGGAGGAGATCGGGGTAGAAAAAGAGCAACTTGGGAAGACACTCAGGAGCGTGCGCAAGAGGGCTGTATATGCAGATTCTGGGGCGGCAGAGACATTTAGGGGAGTCTTGGTTTCCTGGGTCGGGAAAGAGTTTTGAAGATGGTAGAAAAACCAGAGTGAGAAAGAAATAGAGAGGGAAGACACTGGACCTGCGTGAAATAGCTGGTATGGGGGAGGGAAGAGAATGGGCGCGGGTGGGGTGGGGCAGAAGGGACAGTAGAGTTTGAGGGGCAGGGGCAGGGTTGGGGTCTTTGAAGGTAGGAATTTCAGGCTGTGCGGAAGGGGAGACTGAACTGATGCATCAAATGATGTTGCATTTGAGTTTGGTCTCCGAGTTTTGAGGGTGATGAGAACTAAGGTGACAGGAGCAGTTTTCAGGAGAGAAAACTTGGACCCAACCTCTGGAGACTAAAGGAACGAGTAGGACTCTGCTGGAGTGTGAATATCTGACTTGGAGGTGTTGAGAACCACGATTTTCTATGAATTTTGCTACTTCCTCCCGCAGCCAGACCCTGATGCTTCAGTTAGGGGAGCTTCCCAGATGTGAGGTTTTGGAAGTTGAGTATCTGAGTTTTGTATACTACTTCCTCCTCTTGAGAGTGTGTTGTTTTCTTCTTCCTCATCACATAATTGGCCTATTCGGTTTTGGAGGAGGGGTAGGTAACTTCCTAAGGATTGGGTTATTACTAGGTCCTAAGGATAGCTGGATGAATGTTGGCTGATTGTGCTTTGCCTCTATAAATGGTGAATCTGACACCTTTAATGCCTAAAAGTGAACTTTGATCAGAGTGTGTCTTCCTGACCTGATTCATCCTGTGCTGGTTGTTACACATTGGCTTTGTTATTTGTGACTTAATAAAAGAACAGAAGCAACAGACCCAAAAAAGAGTGGGGAGTAAATAGACACTTAAGGGATCTGAGAAGGAAAGTAAGCATTTTGTAACTCATATTTCATTATAAAAAATCAGCACTCTGGAATAGTGGGTTCTCAACCAGGGATTATTTGGCAATATTTGGAGACATTTTTGATTGTCACAACTGGGGGATTGCTTCTTTCAAGCATAGGACAGCCCCTCTCAACAAAGAATTATTGTCTTTAGAATGTCAGTAGTTCCAGAGTTGATAAACTGTGTTTCAAAACCATAGCATTAGATTATCTAATTCAGTAATTCCCAAACAACTTGTCTGGGGGCCTGTGAGATCAAAACTTTTCAGAACAGTACTGAGAAGATATTTTTCCTTTTCACTCTCAAGCTTTCACTTGTGTACTGTGGAGTTTTCCAGAAGCTATATAATCTGTGATGACATCATCACTCTGAATGTTCTGATGTTCTTTTGTTTTATTTTTCAATTTCAATTTCTAGTACAGCAAATATTAAATACAATTCATATAAATCAAAGCTCTGTGAGGTTTTCCATGGCTAGGAGAGTAAAAGGGTCCTGATACCAGAAACATTTTCAAATACTTGATCTAGTCCAGCTGGCCACATGGTGTAAGAAACTCATTTATAGCACTTGTGAAATGGACCTATGAGGCTTTGCATGAACACCTAATTCTAAGCCTTACCTGTACTGTGAAGCACTTACTGAGAACCAGCTGGCCCTAAGAGAGGTTTGTTTACAGTGGGAAGCACCTTATCAGTGACTAGAACACATCTGACAAAGGCATCTATTAACCAGTAATTCTCTGCCAATTGAATCTGTGCACAAACACAAAACTTACTGTTTAGAGAAAGTGAGAAAAAAGTAATAGTTGTCCTACTTGTTGGCTTTTATGTCATTAATTTTTTTTTGTTTTTTAATAAAAGCTTTTTTGTTTTGTTTTTATGAAAGCAGTGTTTGCTCACTGTAGATAATAAACAGGCAAAAATAAGCACATAAAAGAACCTAGCAACTCATTTGCTAGCTTGCCGTTTATTGATCAGAACTACAGAGAGATTCATCCTCCTGGATGATATCCAAGATTGATTCCCTCCACCTCCAAGTTCAGAACAGAATTTGGAGGAGTAAAAGATAATAATGGAGCAAGATCCAGTTTTTAAAGGTTCCAGGATGCAATGGAAACTCTGTACAGCTACTTTTTCCTGATAGCTCTTGGTTCAGTGTAGAGCTCAAAATTCTCCTGGGTACCATGTTCTGAGAATCTAGCAAGTTTTAGTTGCTTGGTGTGTTTTGCATGTTACTTTTTATTTTTGCGGTACTGGGGTTTGTACTCAGGGCCTATACCTTGAGCCCTTGAGCCATTCCACCAGCCCTTTTTTTGTGATGGGTTTTTTTGAGAACTATTTGTCCAGGCTGGCTTTGAACTGAGATCCTCCTGATCTCTGCTTCCTGAGTAGCTAGAAAGTGGATACCAAAAATAGATTTTTGAAAACAATAAATATTTGTAAGGTACTTACTATGTATCTGGTACTTACTGCTGGTGCTGATGAAATAGGGCCTGTCCTGAATTTACAATCTCATTAGCATTAATGTTCTAGCTATGCCAAGTTTCACTTTGTAAATTTATAACTCTATCCCAGTTCTTCCAGTAGCCATTAAAAAATAGCTGCTTTAGTGTTAGGAATGCAGCTCAGTGGTAGAGTACTTGTGTGAGGCTCTGGGTTCAATCCCCAGCACCATGAAAAAAAGGCAAAAAAAAAAGCTGCTTTGGAGTAAGTATAGAAAATTATTCCTAGATTCTATATTGATATTTTTCACAGAAATCAAATTATGCTGATATTTATTTGGATGAATTATAACTGTTCAGAGAACATTCTGGAAAAAAGCTATATTGACTTAGAGGCATTACAGAAAGGGCAGTGGATGAAAGTCCGTTCCTAACATCATTGCTTAATTATGTTTTCTTTGTGACATCACAGATTTCAGAATTCTTCTATGGTTATTGATTCTTTACTAGGTTGACTTCTGGGTTTTTTTTTAAAGGATTAAGTGAGGCTTAAAAAAATTGAAGGGCTGGAGGAATGGCTCAAGTGGTAGAGTGCCTCCCTAGCAAGAGTGAGGCCCTGAGTTCAAACCCCAGTATGATATTCTTCTAGATGAGAAAAACCTCCCATAAATATCCCTAGTGTGTAGTTCACTGATAGGAGCCCTTCCTTTCTGCAAATGTTTATTAAAAGCCTACTATTGTGTCCCAGTTACTATACTAGGTGAAAGAGAAAGAGCAATGGACAAGACATGTGAGGGCCTCCTGTCATGGAACTTAACATTTTAGTGGGGGAAGATAGCCCAACAGGTAAATAATATAATTCCACATAGTGTTAAATACCATAAAGAAAATAAAGCAGATGAGAGGAGTGGGTGATGGAGGATGACCTGTTTTTATATTATATGTTCACAGAACTTTCCATTGTTGAATGATGTTTGGGCAGAGACTTGGGTGTTAGAAGGAGGCCATCCATGTGACCATTTGGGGGAATAAGAAAAGTTTTGTCTTTCTCAAACTCCTAGGTTATTACATCAGTCTATTTTCCATTTCCTTTTTCTCTAAGTTCTAGTCTAGTCAAGACTAATTTTTTTTGGTGGGACTGGAGTTTGAACTCAGGACTTCATGTTACAAAGCAGACAGACTATCTTACATGATGTTATTTCCTATGGCCTACCTAGCAGCAGGCCTGATACATGGTTAACCTTCAATAAATCTTTGTTTATTGCATTCATTGGTGGGCACTGGGGAAAGGATGGTGAACTAGACCCAACTTAGTCTCATTTTTTCTTCTGTGAACCTTAAATGATGTTTCACAAGTTCTTTTGTGCCTTTGGATTGAGAACTTCAAGACCAATGCCAAGAATACAGGTAATTATCGACCACATTATGAAGGTATGATCCCATGTCATACTGCTAGTCTCTTACTTGGGCTCCTTCAGATATAACTGCATAGCCATGAAGATTAGTGTGGATACCTAGAAAGTCCTTGGTGAGACACAGAGTTAAGTTTTCACAAAGTACCAATACCTCTCCTTTTGGAAGATAGCTGAAAAAGAGTATGTACGCACTGAGATTTTTCTGTTAGCTTTACCACATTTTGTTTAACTGATAGCTTTGACTTCAAGGTTCTGTCAAAGTTAATCTAATTATAGTAGAGATACTTGAAAGGACAGGCTTGTCATTAGTCCATTAGTCACTGGTTATTATATCTGCCAGGATTGTAAATATATCAAATATATCCCATGTGTACAGATTTCTTCCCTTATATCCTTGGGTAGACTGTAACCACGGATTGATTCACAGGATTGGACCTAACTTGAGTGACCATTGGTTCAGGAAGGCTGCTCTTTCTAGTGTAGTGACAAAAGCATTCTGATTATAATTTCATATTAAAGTGATCAGAGATCCCCTCAGATCCAAGAGAATTCTACAACTACTTGTTGGTATCCTGTTGTGCATTGCAAAAGAACTCTGGAAGTATGCCAAACACCACTCAGCAATAAGCATTTTCCATTATTTGACTAGAGTTGAATCTCATTTCCTTACCTATTACCTGATCTTAAAAAATGAAACCATTTTATGGCTTGAAACCATGTTTTAATAGATTTTTTGAGATAAAGTCTCACTATGTAACCCAGTAGCCCAGGCTGGTCTGAAACTCATGATCTCCCTACCTCTGCCTTGTGAGTGCCAGGATCACAGGCATGCATTGCCATGCCCTTTTTTTTTTGCAGTACTGGAGCTTGAACTCAGGACCTACACCTTGAGAT